TCCACTCCCACAATGTCTATCTTCTAATTGGCACATTTAGTCCACTGACATTCCAAGTGATTATTCATATAGTTAGATTAGTATCTACCATGTATGTTTCTGTTTTCTATTTTTTGTTCTTGTTCTTTTTTCCTATTTTTGTTTTCTGCTCTTTTTCTGCCTTTTGTAGTTTAGTTGAGCATTTTATATGATTCCATTTTCTCTTTTCTTAGTAGATCAGTTATACTTTTAAAACTTTTTTAAGTTTTAAAAAAACATGCTACATGCCTGTACAATCAGAACCTGAGACTTGTAATTAATATTCCTACTTATGGTGCGTACTTTAAGAGTTAGTGTTTCCAGAAATGCAGTTTGAAAGAGAGTATATTAGTTACAGACAATAAAACAAGAAATAGAAAAAAAGGAAGGAAGGGTTCCAAGACTGACATTTTAAGCATCAATGGTATTTATTTATATTTCTTGTAGAGAGGTAAGAGCTACCCATTAGTGTTCAGAGTCTGCACTGGGAAACATGAGCACTACCACTCTCATCAAGAACTTCTATTATTACTTCAGTTAGAAGTGTGATGAAGGAAGTTGACTGCCATGGAATAAACTTTATCTTTGCTTCCCCCTTAATCTGGAATAGTGATCCGTTGGCTCAAGGTTTCAACTAAGCTCATCTTTATTTTCATAATGTCTGCTGGGCACAGCCAATCTCAGTCTCTTGTTTTCCTAAAATTACTGACAGTAATGTTAGCTTCCTCTGAAAGTCCTCAGAGTAATTTAGGTAATTTATAACTTCCTTATATAGTACTAAAAGGATCCAACTGACAGCCTTGCATAGTCTCTTTATAACACTATTTAAAGTAAATTGGGGATGATTGTGAGATATTCTAGATTGTAATTCTATAGTTTTCAGAAAGTGCTCACCTGTGTTTCATTTATTCTCACCAAATTGTGCCTAATTTTCTAGTTCATTAAAATGTAGGAGAGTTTTAATAATTAGAATGTGTGATATTCTCCTATATTTAGCTAGCCAAAACTAAACTGAATGACAGTAAAGACCTCTGCGAACTCAAGTATTCAGCTATCAAGAGATTTTTATGACCAGTCCTGCTTCAACATTTATAGCTTCATTAAATTTCTGAAAATCAATTATATGGCAGGGAAGTGCTCAAAGAGTCTAAGGACAGGGTGTGGAAGGAAGTATGGCAGAAAAAAAGGGAGACATACACAGGAAAATGTGTGCAAAAAGAATTAAAAACCTTCTTTTTAAAACTATTTATGTACATTACTATTTTCCTTTAAATCCTAAATTGACATTTCTGTTTTGGCTTCATAAGTTTGGTGTCCACAGCTTCTCAAAGTTTCTGTTTGGTTTAGGTATCAGTTTCCTCATGTAGCATGTGAAGCGTTGGAGTATCTGATTTCTAAGGTCCCTTTCAACTCTAACAGTCCATAAATTTGGGAAAGATTCCCTTTTATTCTACGATAACTTCTCGCGTGGGTAATAAGTAAAAATTCTTAAAGCTCTCGAAACTGGAAGTTAAAATTAACTTAGAACAGAATATTCTCAGTTAATTTGAGCGTACTCATTGGCAACATCCCACTAACCTCAGATTTGTGAGCATGCTAAGTGGTTGATTTTATAACACTGTATGACCTAGGTTCTACTTAAAACATCCTTCCACATATATCCAAATACATATATGTGTATGTGTGTATGTGAATGTGTTCCATGCACTTCCACTCTCATATATAAACTTACAAATAAGAGGAATAAATCTCTAAAATATAAGTCTGCATAGCCCTTGATTGACTCAATCATTAAAATACATGTCCCCCCTCAAGACTTATTTGCTCATTCTAATTTATTCTTCTTAACCAAAAATCCAGAAGGGAGAATGTGAGGAAAGGAAGAGAAAAGAGAAGCTATCTTCTTTTATTCTGTCAAAAAGGTATGTGAGGATATAATTTCTTAAGAAAAAGATACTAGAACACCAGGAAGGTCTTGATTCAAGATCCTCATGAAGGTAAGTAAGAAGAGATCTATGAGAGAAGAGACAGAAGGCACCAAGAAGAGAGTGCCAGAAATCCAGGGGATTAAACATGCAATATTGATTACAATAAAAAATAAATGGAACACTTACTTTTGTCAAGCACTCTGCTATGTCATTAAACAGCTATGAAAGCAAAAAGCTAAATAATTTGCCCATGTTCACAGAGCTAGAAAGCAGCAGGGCTAGCCTTCAAATTTATCATTCACACCCATCACCCAGGTTTAGCAATACCATCACCACAACTAACAAAGCTCTCAGTAATTACGTAATAGTATTTAATGCTGGAATCATATTTAAATGATCCCTGCGTTAAATCCCGAGATTGCCTTTTACAGCTGTTTTTTCATGCCAGATCCAATCAAAGTCCACACATTGTCCTTGGTTCTTAGGTCTCCTAGCTGAGAGCCTGCTCTCTTAACCCCTCTCAGTGAAAAGAAATCAACATTTAAAATACACTTGGAATCCACATATTTCAATCTTATTCATAAAACGTGATTGAAAGAAATTTATAATCTATATGAAATGATTGATTTTAAATTTTTGCTAAAAAACTCAACTATGTTTTGTTATTAAAATAAATTTTAAAATTCCAAAACAGCTTTAGTTTAGAAAACCTCTATAGCCCTTCAGTAGACTATGAAAAGAATGCAGACCTTCAGTGGACAGAGGGCTCAAAAGTATGTACGAAGAGTTATTGACAAGGTGAGAAGAGGAAAATACAGAACCTCGCTTCCGATTGGAAGAAGAGTCATAACTAAATTTTCATTTTTATGTTTTATTCTCCTTTACCACAGGAAAGCAGGGCTGTAAGCAAGAAGCTTGGAGGAATAAATACGGAATAATTTCCTAGATAATTCTAGGAAGGAAGGTTTCTCTTTCTAGGGGGTAAAAACACTAAAATATCAATATAAAGTTTCTGGTCAGAGTTTCAATGCCTGACCTCAAACTGGCCCTCCATCAGTTTGGCAGCCCTGGTGTGAAATCCCACTGTTGCTGAGCATGGCAGGAGAACAAGTTCAGTTTAACACCTCACATCATGCGTTTACTTCTCAAATGTAATTGCAGGTCAAAGTCTTAAAGCTTTATAGCACAGTTAAGATTTTAACTTTCTCCATCACAGTAAACTTTTAAAAACATTTCTGCTTGCAGAAATAGAAAGAATAAATAATAATGTGTAATGATTTGAAGTTTCCAAGTATTTTCACGTGTCTTATCCAATTTAATTTTCTTGACAACCCAACGAGATAGGGCATTGTCATTACACCCATTTTTATGGGCAACTGAAGTCCACTGGGATTGACTTGCTTGGGATACCTTGATTGTAAGTCATTATTCTGAATCCTAGCTTGGCGCCCTACCAGACAGCACTTTTCTGGGCAATGCAATTCTTTTTCCTTTATTTAATCCAAGTATAATTAAATTAAAGTCATGCTGGAGAAAGTATAAAAACATAAAGCTTCATGAAGTTAATTTTATAAAAAAGTGTTAGATGACATATTGAAGTGTTCTATTGATAAGTCTGGCTCATGGAACCCCATCAAGTACAAGAAAATATAAATTTAGAAAAGCAGGGCTAACTCTCTTTTTTATATGGTTAAAGTGTAATAACTTTATTCTTAACTATATCATACAAGGTTATGCTTAGTTATACCTATTAGGAAGGCTTATCATACAAGTAGAAGACATTAAAAAAAAACTAAAGTAACATTAAAAGCCATAAAGAAAGTTCACTGCAAGGATTAAGAACATATCCTTAGATTACTACTTTGCTTAAATTTTTTCCACAAATTAATCTGATAAAGTGTTGTGCTCCACAGTACTAAACATCTGTCTTAATTAATCATAGTCCTCCTTAAGCACAGAAACGTCTTTTTTGGAAAGTCGGAAGTGAAGCTTCTGTTTCCAAGTTTACCATACCGCAGAGAATTATTTTTCTTACTCTACTGCTCTGTAAAATTGTAAAAGTATTTACAATAAAATTCAGGATTTAAAAAGCGATCCTTTTTTATTGCTAAAATCAAGTTGCCTTCATACTGTACCCTTTGGATGGTTACAACAGGCGTAATTTCTCCTCAGCTTTCATCTCTTTACTGCTTTACTACACTATCAACTATTGAAAAAAAACACAGCCCTACACTTACCTAGGTTTTAAAGTCACACACAGAAAAACTAAAATTATACTCCTAAATAATTTAAAATTGTTTCAAAGTTATGTTAGATATTTTGAAATAAAAGCAGGCACCTCAAGATTAAAACTGAAAATAGAGTATTTTCACATTTTTCAACCTTGAATGCCTTCTGTTTCTAACTGGAAAGAGTTAGTGGAAAATAGAACAGTAAGAAAGAGTATGCTCTTTGAGACACCTCATTTTACTTTGGTTTGATAGAATTTCGTATGTAAAAACATTTCAAATTTTATTCCCTCCCAAGCTTGGACTTAAGGTCCGTACAACGAGCAAACTGAACCCGAGCTCCCGTTGTCACAGACGCCAGCCCCGGCGTACCTGACGCTCACCTCTAACACCGCGCCGGGTTAAATCCCACCGACGCTCCCACGCCCTCAGCAGCGCCTCCGCCTGGCGTTTCCCGAGGCCCCACACAAGGGCACTGCGTCCGCGCACCTGGACGCCCACCTGCCTGCAGGTGCAGCCAGTCGGAGTCCGTGCCCACCGCGACCCCCGACCGGGACCCGCAGCGGGGATCCGGCAGGAGCCCGCCCGGAGGTGGGAGAGACTCCCCGCTGTCATCACTGCTGCGAGGGGCACCCACTGTCACCCGCTCTCTGCACCGTCCCTCCGGTGCGCGGTGGTCCCGGTAGGGACCCTCCTGATAAGCTCACCCTCCTGCCTCCGCCCGGGGCCACCGCGCCCTCGCGGCCGCCCTCGCTGCTGGCGGCATCGATCCCGGCCTCCCGGGAGCCCCTCCCGGGTCCGGGGTCCGGCTCCCGGCACTCGTCACCTCATGAGGTAGTCCCGGAAATCCTTGCTTCGGACATAGTCCGCCGCTTTCCGCACGAGCGCGCCAGCCATGGCTGTGTCGGACACCAGCTCCTCCTGGTCCCCGCTGTTGCGGCCGCTCCTCGGAGCCCAATGACAACCCGCCGACCGGGCGGCGAGCAGCGCGCTGCCCTGCGGGACCGCCTCACGACACTCGGCCACGCCTTACGGCCGCACCGCGGCTCTCGGCCTATGAGAAGGCGCAGGACCGAAGGCGGCAGCGCGGATTGGCTGGCCTGTGTCGCACACCTCCGCGCTGCCCCCCGGCGGGGGGCGGGGCCTGCTGCCGTAAAATGGCCAAGGCCCGGCGAGGATTGGCTGACGGTTGCTAGGCACCCGCTGCTCTGGGCCCGCTCGAGCGTGGAGGTGACACTTCTCCGACCGGCAGTGCGGGGAGGCGGCTGCAGAGCGCCGGGCAGCGCTTCTCCGGGCGGCGGGGTCCGGCAGGGGTCCCTGCGGTGGGGCGGGCGGCGGGGCTGGCTGGGCTCCTGCTGCCGTCCCCAGCGCCCCCACCTGTGCAAGGGCACCTTGGCCGCGCAGCCGGCGCTCCCCGCGCCCACGTGGGCGGTCCCGGCCCGCGAACTCGGCCCGGCGCGTGTTTGGGGACAGTGAGCGCTGCAGCGGCTCCGCCCGCAGAGCCCCGGGCCAGCGGCCCTTGCACTTCCCCCGCACCGATCCAACCAGCACCGATCCCACCGGCGTGGCGTGGGACCCGGGGCCGCGCCTTCACACGTACGCGCGCCCCGGCTGCCTGCTGTGGGCTAGGAGGCAGCCTCCGCGGCACAGAGGACCAAAGCGCATAAAAATAGCACAAAGCCTTAGTCGCAAGGAAGTGTGATTGCCTACGTGTTGAAAATAAAGGTTATGTAAGTCCTACCGGGTGCGCATATTGAAAGGACCATCAGCACGGACCCACGCCCGGGAGCTCCAGCCGCAGCATGACTTTCAGATTATGCACCAAGGCAGAGAAAGGCTTTTGTTCTTCACTTTTCCGAGTTGTTTCGTTTTGTTTTGTTTTTGATGTAGACGATTCAGTCATTTAAAATGCCTGTGGTGGACAGTAACTCTCATGCTGCCGGTGGGCAGATTGTATCAGCGTTAATAATGGACACGCCCTTTGACCCAGCAAGTCCATTTATAGAGATATGTTAGGGTAGATAAGCAAGTTTGTGCAATTTCATATGTACAGAATTATTTTTAGTATAGAGGGATTAGAAAGAGTTTATATATCCATCCATTGGGAGAGTTAAATAAATGATGGTGCGTCCATTCAGTGGTTTAGCGTGCAGCAGTTAAGAAAGAATAAGGGAGTTCTTCTATACTATAGAAGATGTAGATACTATATCTATGCTGATATGAAAGATCTTGAAGGTTTATCTGCAAGAAAAAAAGGTGCAGAGAATAGTGTGTATGCTACTCATTTGTGCGTAGGGACAAAGAAAATATATAAATGAATGTTTGCAAAGATAATGGAGAAATGTGGTTAGCAGTAGTTGCCTCTAAGAACAGGTAGGAGAACAAGGGAGGGAGGGAAACAACTTTTCATTGTATACTCTTTTGTTCCTTTTGAAGTTTGTACAATCAACATATGCTATCCAAAAAAATAGCACTAAAGAAGAAATGCCTTTAAGAATTAAAATAGCAGGGCTCTGATTGAATCAGATTTATTTTCTGTTCTCTAGTGGTCATACCTGGCCTTGGTCTATGAAAGTGTCTCTCAATACACAATATTGCAATCCCATAATAACATGAGGAAGGTTGTTTTGTTCCACGGGTGCTTCATGATGGAGTTATAGGAATGTACAACCTAAGAAAAACAAGGGTATTGATTATTAATAATATTGCTAATAGCTATCTTTTGTTGACACTAGGCACTATTTATACATTATTTCTCCCCACGTCAACTGAGGTGGGTGAAAGGAAATTGAATACTTTCTTGAATAAAACCAAAATGCTTCTGCAAGATTGGTGGAGGAGACCCTCCCCCGCCCCCGCCCATGTGAGAAGGAGATCCTGGATACCAAAGCTGCTCAGTCTTATCTCCTAATATTTTCCTTTTCCTCATGAGCAGTGGTTCCAAAACTTGACCTGTCTGAAGAATCCTCTGCAAATTCCTAGATCCCACCCTTAAACTCAGTAGGTCTGGTGTGGGGCCCCGAAAGCTACATGGTTAATGAGCACTACAGGCCGCTGGTCAGTATTTAGCACCTGGAGAAACACTGCTGAGAGTCCCTAATGTACTGTAGCCACCACTGGGCTGGTGTCAGGAGATTTTGCTTTCCACATTTGGGCCTAAATTGAACCTTTTAGTTTTCCATTAGTTTCCCATCCATGGAGTAGTATGAGCTAGAGTATTTAAGCAGAGCTGTGTATATAAAGGCACTAATTTGCTACTAAGTAGCTAACTTGGGATTTGAACGAGTTCTCTTTCCTCTGAAACCTATACTCTCCCCACTATTCCATGTTGCCACAAACAGAAGGATGTCTTTCATGTTAACATGTATCTCTGTTACTTTAAGCAGGCGACGTGGTCCAAAGTATAAGAGAACATAACAATAGACCTATCTACATGATTTCATAAAACTTTAGAAAAGCCAACCCTACATGGTTCATCCCCATTTGGAGAGTGTATGGAAGGTACAAATGAAAATGTCACCGGCTGCTTTGAATCTCAGGTCTGTGGAAGTGAGTGTAAAGGCACAGCAGTGTGCCAGAATCTCCCATGCCCGCCAAGGTTCAGAAATGACCATCAGAATAAGCGGCACTCCGAGCTTCCCTATTGACTGTGTCAGAAACAGGATTTGTGCATTCGGACTGATTTCTGGTCAGAGGTCGGAAGGAAGCTGGTCTTGCACTTACAGAGCACCCATATGGGTCGGCACTGTGCAGGCGGTTTATATGCACTGTGTGTGTGTGATTATAATAACCTGTGCATGTAGACTCCGTTGAGTCTCCTGTGAAGAGTGTGGCCCGGAGCCGTCCTTTCAGCAGACTTGGGGTTAGCCGCAGCCTGTCACAAAGGGCGTCTTCATCCTTCTCGAGCTCCAGAGCCCTTAGCAAAGGTGATGACAACTGCTTAACCTCAGTTTTCATCCCTGGCCCAGAAATGTCTGTTCTCTGCGATGATAACTGTATATTTTATGAAGAGCTTTTCTTTCTTTTTAGCAAATAAGGAAAATGGTAACCTATGAAAGATTTCTATTTCTTTCATCATGATCTCAGGAGAAAGTAGTTATCTTTGCATTCACTGATTAGGATTAATGTTTCAAATTTTTGTGAAGAACTGAATGTATTAATATGTATTACTAATTTGACTATAATTTCAGTCGAAACATTTTTATGTCATTAAAAACATTTGCAGTCATATGCATTTCCTGCATGGTTATGGATTTTTTTCATGTATCTACACAGCATTTTTATAGTGGTTCAATTAATTTAAATTCATTCACTCTTTCAGGAAAACTTTTTTTTTTCCTTTTTAACCTGCAGTATTTGTGTTAGCTTTTCTCATAAGCCCACACTCTTCCAATCAGACCCACACCCTTCGATCAGACTGATAATTAGCTTTAAGCACATTTGCCTCCAGCTTTTTCTCCTTGATCCTACAGTTCCCATCACATGATAGAAGAAAAGCTTCCATGTGTAGTAAACTAACTGTATTTTCTCATCTAATTATCAAAATAGAAAAAAAAAGCAAAGTAGTTCTAAATATGAACTAAAACAATCCCGCAGGTTACTAATCATACTGTCTTCATTTCAGTTTTCCTCTGGAAATGGGGATAGAATGGTCCTTTTGTCTGTCTTGCAGGATTGCTAAGATGACAAAGGCAGTTTCGGAGGACGTGTTTAGTAGGCAATAAAGGTGGTCATAAATATAGAGATGCATTGTTTTTGTCCTGCTGCCCACTCTTCTACCAGCCCAACACCTGCCTCTCTCTGGCCCCAGGTATGTCGGTGCACATTAATTTGATTGGCTTAGTAATTTAAAGAATGTGCTGTAGTAAATGAATAAGCCAAGAAACTCAGGAGTTCAGCAAGAACCAGTGACACCTAAATTCAAAAACCAATGTAACATTTCAAGTATGAATGGATATTTTAGCCAAGTCAGCTCTTCCTGTCCTACTTCTGACTAATGCATCATGCTGTCTCCAGGACTCGGTCAGTCCTGCGAGATAAGCAGTCCCCCCCCACCATTTTTGTCCTAGGTTCTGGTTCTCATAGTGTGGATAGAGATGTCACAAAGAAGTGGCTTCACAGGCAAGGAATCTTCACTGTTTGGCAACTCAGTAACTTGCTAGCAAATAAATGGCAAAGGGAGAAAGGAAGTGGAAACACAGCTGTTTTGCAATCTATTGCAGGGAGTGATTCTGGCAGCCATCGTCGATAGATGCTAAAATCTGCCCAAGGGCCAGAGGGAACCGGATGATCACAGATGCCAGACTTCCACCCACAGCTCGCAGCTGCTGGTCACAGGGGAAAAGTGATTAACACGCTTTCTGTGGTCAGCTTTTCCCAACCCTGTGTCCTCAGAAGTTCGGCAGAGGAGTGGGGTGACTAGGAGGTGGCGAGGGGGTTTTCTTGGTCAAATCTATTTAGGAAACGTATTTGAATCACGTAATTAATTAATTTCTGCTGTTCTTTTGAGAGTCTTTATGTTACCGAAAACTCGGCACTTGTCCAGGAGGGCAAATCAGAAGAACCAGGACAAGTGGTTTGAGGAGGAAGGAAAGAGACATTTTATTACTTTGCCGTCAAAGGAGGAAAACTGGTAGACCTTCTCCTCGCAAAATCCAAATTTTCCCGAACATTCAGCTCTGTATTCAGAAATACAGAGCTTTTTAAAGGATGGGCTCTCAGCTTCAGGCAATTACTGTTTAACTACAGTTGATGATTTCTGATCGTCCCATCTCTGCAAAGACAATCTCCTGACCTCCCTTTACCAGGTCCGGGCTGGGCCACCTCCTGTGTACAAGTAAGGAAAGACTCACCCTGCCCCTCCCAACCACTGCCTGAGGCAGGGATGCGAAAAGGAGGAGAGGTTGTTTTAAAGAGACAGAAAATACTTCTGCCCTCTTTTCCAGGCCTTTGCCTCTGTTACCTTTACCAAGCTTTTGTGAATTGTGA